TTTCCTGGTAATTATTATTTTTATAAAAATTGAAATTTCTCAAAATTAAAGTATTTGGTAACCATATTTATATGGAAGTTGTGGGGTGCCTAATACCTTCCCCATGCTTAACCGACCCTCTGAGCCTAGTCAATTTCTACGAAGACCTTGGTGATTTATCCCACCGCATTTGGATAGATGGCGACTCCATCCATTTTGGCACGTCAACAATAAAGAGAATATATTCAGAATTTTTTAGGCACTTTGAAATCCATTAGTCATTCAAAACTTGTGACAAATTCAAAAATGACTTCAAAACTTGAAAGCAATCCCTCCAAACAGCAGTTCTGATCCAAAAATCCACAAATTAAAGAGTTTGAATCAAGAGGATCCCAATTTCAAGTTTTCAACCAATGAAACTTAAAACATACTTTTATTCCCATCCACAACCTCTGTCTAACCATCCAAAGCAAAATGTAATTAAAAATTTTAAAAGGAAACAAAAAACCCTCCACTCTCCTCAACAACTTGTAAAAGAAATGCTACAGTTTAAGGCTGGAAATAGAACCATTTTTATAGCTTCTTAACTCTTAGCAACAGCCAACAATCTGATCCTTACCATATCAAAAATGTCTTAAGATTTGATCAATGGTTTGGGTCTAGTCATCGCTGATTCAATATCACACTAAATTATTCTTTACAAAAGATTTTACCCAAAATTATTTTGTTCCATGCTAGCAATTATTTTCAACATAGATAGCATCAGGGATCAAATTTATACTTTTAAGTTCACATAACAAAACATATATTAGCAATACCAGAATAAACCAGTATAATCCTACCGTAACTTCTAAAATCAAGTTCCTCATTGCATATATGATTCTCTTGGCATGCAAAACAAGCATATCAAAACAAACAACCTTTTAATAGCGAGAAACAGAATAAAAACAATATGTTGCCTTGAATGGTTACATGGTATATAAAGAACAAGAATGTAAAGTAACATAGGACAAGAAACCATTTTTCAAATTGATTTGTGTTGCATTATCATTCTCTTAGGCAAATAGTTTATAAGTAACGTAGTAAAAGCATCTGTTTTCCATGCAAAGAATAAATAAATAATGAAAAGTCTCACAAGCTTTCTCTACTTTTGTCTTTTGCTTCTTTCTCATATTTTTGGAAACCTGACCACTAAGGAAGAGTATCTGTCCTCCAATTGTTGACTTCCCAGCATCTTAAAACCAATTACAAAACAAAGCCAAAACACACCATTTGGATGAAAAGTCTAGGGAGATAGGACCATCGACATGTGTGATTAAAAAGAGCCAACATTCCTCACTTTGACCAACAATTGTCCCTTATGATGCCAAATAAAACAAAGTTGCCAAATTGAAAATGTTGAAACTTTAAACAAACTAAAAACACCTTTTCATAAAATAAACATGTAATATCCAAGAAAGAAAGCTTGAAACTTCTCAAAAGTATGTAGATACTAAATAGAAACAGGAAACCATAAGTTTTTTTTTTTTCTACCATAAGATTTTAACTTAACATTTTGAAAGTCTTTAATCATTCAAGCATGTATACAATATGTTCTAGGAAACAATTAACACAGTCAACTCCACAATGGATCTTAGAAAATGCCAAACCATTAAATTATTTCTATGTGTCATCTAGTCAACCAATCCCTGAACTCAAACAAAAAAGCAAATAAACAACAATGGGAAACACATTTCTCCCTTTTATTTGGCCTTTGAACAAACCAGTTCATAGAGAATAATAAAGGACATAAAAATGAAAAACCCCCACTTTTAATTTAAACAATAAGTAGAAAAACCTACCAACATGACCAATGAACACAACATTCAAGTGGCGTTTCTTATTTTCTTCCACCTCATCAAGAACTTCAGCATCTTCAAGAGCTGGTGCTTCCTCATCTTTCACTGCACATCCAAACCAAAACATACGAACGAGACAATGATAATTGGATTGTAGAAGTAGGAAACATAATACATATCACTGTAGTTTGTGGTGTTTATGTATTTTGGAAGAGAAGGAAGGGAAGGAAGCTTTGGGTTCAACGTTCACTTGCTGAGAGACTGTACTATCCTTTGCCCCTGAAAAGGGAGAAAAAAAGTAGAATGAAATAAAGGGAAAAAAGCACCACCAATATGCACTTTTAGTTAAAAAAAAAAAAAAAATCCTATCAAGAATGAGCAAAATAAAATAGGTACAAATATCTAAATGGTTAATTTTTATCGTAGCTATTATGATGGAAGCAGCAATACTAAGTTTCACTCTTAAATCTAATTTCAGGCAGAAGCCAGAAGCACTATATCTATATTATATGCCGTTGGTAAACAAGGACTGGCAGTGATGACAACAGTGATGAATGAGCTGCCACCACCTGGGCACCAATAGAAAATCTTAGAAGGAAATTGGTAGACTAGTATTGTAAAACACACAACAAAAACCATAAAGACTTAGATTAATTCTTGTAAAAAAAGAATTACCACATCAACCTAATTCAAATAGATGCCATCAGAACAAACTAATTAGAACCTTGCACCTTCCCTGAAAACCTTTTGCCCTCTGTGCATGAGGGTCCATAGGGTTACTTCTTTTGGTTCGTCCCATCAATAACAAATTCTACTCTTAGGACAATCAAATTAGTACCTGAACCAATTCCAGAGCCGAATTATTTATCAGCACATATGGCATTGGATAAGCAGTAAATACATAGACATAATATAACCACAAAAAACGATAATCTAAGACAGATAAATAGTTCATGCGGAAATGCATCATCTCTTAGCCAGCTAACCCAATCCGTGATACAAAAATCAATCCAAAGTTACTGTTTTCGTAAAGACTCTGGGCAAGATGCTGCCCCCTTCAAACCAGTCTAAGAATACCAATAGCTTTCTCGCTTTCTTTCTTTCTTTCTTTCTTTCTTTTTTTCTTTTTTTTGCCAAAAATAGCTTTCTTATCCTTAAATCTACATCTTTGCAAAAAAAACAAAAAAAAGAATTCTGTATCTGAAAAATGAATTTCAGTCCAAAAGAACGCCGGGACCCATAACATCGTGAAACGAAAGAACATCGGATTAAAAAAATTAAGAAGAAATCAAATGGGTCAGGAGCCTGAGAAAGACACAGAGGAACCGGCTACTCAAGAAAGGATATCGGACTGATCACCAGCGGGGTCGTAATGCAGAGCGAACTTGAGACTGGCAGCTTCGGCAGGCGCCACCAGATTGGGGGAGAAAAAGTTGCAAATTTTGTCATTTTTTGAATTTTTTTTTGTTTATTTATAAATATAAATTTTATTATTTTTATTTAAAAACATAAAAATTTTATATTTTATTTAAAATTATTATTTATCACACTATTTTTATTACTCAATAAAATTTTAAATAAAAAATAAAAAA